TGTAAGGAATATAAATAGTAACATGTGCGTTAAGTATTGTAATTTATGCGTATTGTGAACCTTGCCATGTGTAAACCTTGCCTTGTGAAACTGGAATTTTTTGCGAAACTATAAGTCCTTGTTCAAGTGTTATCTTTGTACCCATTATATCGCAGCGTATTAATACGAAGTGGCATACGTCGGAGATTATGTAGAAGAAAATATGTGGAAAGCAAGATAGACGGGATTTGAAAATAGAACAGAGAAGCGTAAACATATTTGCAAAATGAAGACTAAAGTGTATCTCTATTCATAAGAATCTCTATTGATAAGAAGTTTTGCGGATTGTATAAAGAAGTTAAAATATACATTCGTTCTAGTTTATATAATAAGTTTTATTTTTGTGTGTATATCTGTTATTCGAAATATATCCAAAATATTCTTCATAATACGGAATAAATTCCATAATATCTACTCCACGGACCGCCATTATAGTGAAGACTTATACTACATACATATATTTGCACGAACGTCTTACGTCAAAAAAATAAGATGACAGTATATATATAATATGCACGTAAGTATCCGATTGAAAAATTAATTTTAACCGATTAACATGATACAACGATAGACTTATAAAAATAAGTCGTTTTATCAGATATCTCGAGAAGTATCAAAATGTTAAAGTCTCTCTTCCATAGTGCTAATTGGTTGTCTAAAAAATCTGATACAAGTTGTTTTTTAATTTCGATTCGCAGTTATCAGAGTATAAATTACATATCTTTAAATGTGATCTCTTATGATTCCAAGTAATATTGAACAATACGAAGCATATAAAAAAAAGTATCATATACAAAATATTAATTCCTGGGCTAAATACTGGACTTCTTACCAGCGGAGGTAATGTAGCAAAAATGAATATCATAAATAGACGCATATACGACGTCTGCACAGAAAATATCCGACTTAGCGATGTAGCAGAAGAAAGAGTTAATTTTTGGCCAATAACGTCGTGTTCCCTCCAATGTACTTCTTTTTGGAAGCCATAACTTTCTTCCAGAGATCCTCCCACTTTTGAAAACACTCCTTATGTTCAACTTTCGGACGTACGCTTCAAATTAATAAGTACTATGAACTGGAGCATATAATTCATTATACATTTATTACGATGAAAAAAAGTATCGTATAGTAATGTTGGAAAATATATAATTCTACACATACACAAACTTAAAGATTTTCTCAAGCTGATAAAGCCGTATCACTTATTCATTGTAAGCTCACGAGTTTGCAAGTGAGATCTAATGTAAATATATATGTCTCCGGTCACATATGAATAGCAATTAAACCTTGCCGTGAGACATATTTTTTCCTGTGCATTCATAATTTTGATAAAGACATGACAACATGTGAATTTACGCCGAAATTGCTGTTATCGATGTAGCGCATAAAGAAGAAGCAAACAAATAAAACAGAGTTTAAGAATTCTCTTTTATTCTACCTCGCAATTTTTCGACAACTACTTACTAAGACAAGTGACAAAACGAAATCAATCTGAAACTATAAGTCTACTAAAGATTATTAGTTGAATGATAAATTCAAAAGCGCGAGAAGTAATCGCAGGAAGCAGGCGAGCGATATTGGCCTTATTTAACTTTATTCTATAGGGTTATGNTTTAACTTTATTCTGTAGGGTTATCGCGCGATAACCCTACAGAATTCAGCGCTAATAAATATTTGCGTTGAAAATTATTCAAAACATGATGCAATCCATAATTTTATTTATATATTAGGTGCCAAGTGGCACTCACGACGTAAGATACTGACGTCTGCATTTCATTTCAATGTATTGCGAAAGTATGTTGATGTTTTAATTGTGGAGCGACAACTCATGACCAAGACCTTAAAGGATGTCGATGGAACTATTGAAAAGGATGTATTTACATTTGCTTCTAAACATACGCTGAACGCAATATGTGGTAAATTATGAGATATTTTTATTATGTGAGCCTATACAAAGTTTATTTGGCATAACCAAAAGTAAGAGAATTTGTTTGCGCGTATA